GTGATGCCAAGTCTGCATGCCATCAAAATATCTGAGGCAAAAAAAAATATGAAAAGACAATACTTACCATAAGTATTATGTTAAAAGCTGCCTAGATGCTTTTCTGTGAACATAGACAACATATCCTTGAAAAACTGAGATTTCCTATCAGCAATTTTTTAAATTACCATGAAGATAAATGCCATGTCCACATTCTCTGCAATGTTTAAAGTTATTATGTAGGCCTGATCCACCAACCTTCATCTTACCTATGTCAGGACATGTTTATAGCAAGCAGTGCCATGGGTGCCTGGAAAATGAACCATTCCATTCATGAGATGCCAGAGCTATGGAGCAGAATAAAGGCTCTGCATTTTAACATCCTCCCTGGAATCCCTGAGCTGGACCTGATCAGGATCAATCAGCCCTGCAGCTGGTAGGAAAGAGATTATTGCTGTCCAGAAAGTGCCAAAGGATTTCTACAGTTTTTAGCTGCCTTAATTTATGTATACTGTGAATAAAAACTAGGAGCAAATGGAACCCAGCTGGAATGTCAATTGAATAGAACAATTGGTTGTTTTTTTGTTTGGTTTGGTTTGGTTTTTTACATTAGAAATTAAAGTTGTAACAGCAAATTAGTTAGAACTTCAAATTGTAATAGGTACTGTCACGTCAGTCTCCTGTACTGTAAAAATTTTTTTTTACAAAGTGCTGCTTTGTTTTGATTTGCCCCTTCACCACCTTCCCCCTTCCCCTGCTTTTATAATACTGAACTGCAAATCAGATTCCTCTGAGAACAGTCAGAATAAAGCAGTACACAGTAATGCTGGTAGAACAATACAGATATATTCATACTATTAATCAGATGAGCAAAATATCCACAACTGAGAGATCATGTTGCTTTGGTCCCAACTATATGGTTTAATAATACAATATAGTGTTAAAAGTTTTTTGCAATGGACTGTATTGAAGGGCAATAAGCCACCAATAGCTACAGCAAAACTTACCTCATCAGACATGAGCATTAAATATATTTGGGAGTGTGTATCATTACTAAATGTATTTGGGGGGTGGTGTTACTACTCTGGAACAAAATTCTTTATAGGTTGAGTAAACACAGCTGATAACTTTAAAATTGCATAGGGAAACAGATGGCTCACCCCAAACAGGCCTGTTATTTCTGGTGTTTGATAAGAGGTGGTGGTAAATAAAATCATACAAAAGAACAGCTGTGTGACTAACCAGCCCAACTCTGGCTGGCAGTCTTGTCTTGGCCAAAAGGGATGAGAGTATGTAGTAAGGTCAGGGAACAAAGAGTTTGGTGTCCAGAATATGGCTACTTGATCAATATTTACTTTGATGCTGTTGGCAAGTGTCACAACTGGAATGCTTTAATTTGTCTTATTTTTAAAAGTTACATTTCTATCCACTGTGATAGTACATAGGGATTTTTTGGTGTGTGTTTAATTTCATACTGTAAGATACTTAAATTGCCAAAAAGCCCCCAGTATGATCTTAATTTTTGATAGTTTTCTTCACATTATAAAAGAAATGTTCAGCATATTCCAGAAGAGCAGGGCATGGATTAAACGCAGTAGGGGAACCAAGGCTGGAATTTCAGACTACTACAAACAGCAGAAAAGCCGTGCCTTCTTCCTTAGTTGTTGCCATCACTTTCTTGGTAGCACATTGGTCATGCTTATACATCAACATTTGTGTCTCAATGTTGCTGTAACATTGTCTAGTATTAATCCAGGCAGTCATATGCCTTGTTTTCTGTAATGATCCATACTTTCACACCACAGACACACAGCCAGAAAAGGAAACACGTTGATTTAGTGCTCAGTAATCCTTGTCTAATCCCCAGTCCTTTGGTTTACATCACTAACATGGCTCCTGCAGTAGTCAGTGTTCTATCTTTGTCTTTGGCCGACTGAATTAAAGGAAAGATTTATTAATTTGTAACTTGGCTTTGTAGATGCAGCTTAAATGTGCTAAAACCCAAAGCAGTCTAGAAGCCAATATTGACTTAACTATAAAAATCTGCTCTTTAAAACTCAAACCTTTGCAAGAATCCAAGTCAAGCTGCAAAGACTAATTTATTGACTTACTAAAGCAATTGCATTGTACAGGGGTAAAGTTAACAACTGTCTTATTGCAGGCCCTCAGTCTACTTCCCTTTTCACTCATTTCTACAAATACAATTAACCTCCTCTTTCCTTACTCATCTACACCTAGGACTGCAGTGCTTTATGGCTCACATACTGCTAAGAGAAAGGGGTTGGAACGAATGGATTCATTTGCAAAAACTGTTAGAGGGTCAGAGATCACCATTCGTTCCAGTGGTGATAAATATTCCATGTAATTACTGCACAAATGCTAGTGTTTGGGATTTATTTCTATTAGTTTATGAATGCTGGTTGCTTTCTTCCTTCTCACAGTGCCAAAGATAGTGATTCTTGGGAGGAAGCCTTTTGGAATAATTTAGCTGTCATCACTTTTACTCCCAAATCCTTCAGGACAGGTACAGGCTAGCCCTGTTCCCTTCTGGCAGGTGAGATTCCAGAGCTAACTCCAGCAGCTTAAGGTGGTTCTTTACTCAGAACTTCCCTGTCACCAAATCAGCTGAAATTTTGAGTGATTCTCATGCTCATGTTACAATTGTAAAGAGCATGAGGGGTTTTTTCAGACAAAATAATTGTTCATTTCCTAGATGCAATCAGGCAATTGTATTTTAAAGTCTATAGCAATATAGACTGTCCTTCCTGCTGGAAATCATTCTACTTTGGGAAAGTCCAGGTCAGTTCCTTAAGCAAATAAACTTTTAGAAAACTGTAATTCACTTTCTAACTATGACCTTTAGGCTCAACTCTACATCACTACTGATTTTAGTGAAAGCTTAAGGTCCTAAAAAAAAAAATCCCTAAAGTGGATTTTTTTTTTTTTTTTTTGTTCTTCACATTATAGTTTCCTTGAAATAACCAGCCAGGCTACATTAATTGGATTTAAAGTGTTAATGAATTAGTTGTTGTAATGTGCAAAAGTATTGTTTGGATAGCGCCTTTGTAATGGGTGATAAGTAAGTATAGGATGGGTCTGTTCTTGAAAGCAGATCTGCAGTGTGTCCTTCTTGAAGCCGATGAAACTCTTTACCTCTGTATCTGTCTGCTAGTAAGATTACAGATGTAGTTCATGCCCTCATTTTCAATTTATGCTTGCATGACTGAGTTTGTTTTTAAATCTGCCTAGTCAGACAAACAAATATGTAACCCCTAGCAAAGGGCGGTAAGTTAGATGTGAAGGCACACAGTAATCTTTACAGTATCTTAACAAAAGACTTATTAGTAAATCTAAACACCCCTTGTGAATCTCCATAATTACTGTAGACACCAATGTTGACAGTGAATGGCATTTTTCAGAGAAAAGAATATACTCAGAGGTCTCTGACTTTCAGGCTTTAATTGAACAGCACTCTTAATAAGACACAGAGTATTAATCTGGTCTTCCCAGGGGGCTGCCACTATGCCTCTATCATGGTATTTGCATCAAAAGTTGTTTCCTACAGTGGATGTAAGAGGCACAGACCTTCATTACAGATACATTTTGTGTTCTGCTCTGGGACCTGAGGGCTAAAACACAGGTGGGAAATACTGTATGGGGGTGGTTGTGAGCCAGCCCACCAGCCGGCTGTGCCAGAAGATGCCAGGCTGTGTCAATGCCTTGGAGCCTCACAATGGCCCTGGAGCGTGAGTTGCTCATAACTGGGGTGTGCTGAGCATGGGGATGCCCTGAAGTACTGGAGAGGTTCGCATCTTAGTTCTTGCTCCAGTCTGAAACTGGCTTTTCACTGCTTACATGATGCTCTGGTGGCACACTGCTTTTTCTGGTCAAATGTATGAGAGGAGAGGGATTACTTTGTCTCTGCTGGGACCAGGCTTGGCACTTCATATTTCCTACAGTAACCATTTGCCCAAGATTGGTGAGCTCTGGATTTCCTTTCCTTTTCTGCTGGACAAGCATTAATCCTACAGCTCAATTCTGCGGAAATTGCCCAGCACTGTAGGCTGCTGTTTGCTGCCATGGAGAACAGGCATTCTTGCACCCTCAAGGCCAATCCACCACGCCCAGGGTGACTGTAGATCAGTTCTCAAATCTATGGGGAAGAGGGGAAAAGGAATGTGTAATGGCTGGGATGCACAGTTGAGAGAGGAAACTGGAGCCAGTGTCTGTAGCTCCTCCCCTGTGTGGGAGGTGGATGCACTTACCAGCTACGCAAATCTGTCTGGTAGATGTAATGAACATCTCCTTGACTCAGGATCACTCAAAATCTTACAAAGGCTGTAACTTTCAACTACAGTGAGATCCTCCATGTAGCTACTGAATAGTAAAGAAATGTATTATTTAAAGTGTCATCACACTCCAAAGTGTGTAAAGCCAAGTTTTATTTTGAAAAGTCTGGCAACAGTATCCTACGTCTGTGTTTTAATGGCAGGAACACTGGTCTTGGAGCTTAAGACTCTTAAGTCCAGCAGTATTCTCTGCCCGTAAACCACAGCTGGATAGCAGACCCAGACCTTGACTTGTTTGTGTGTTTTCCCTGAAATAATTTCTGAGGTCTTTTGATGTTGATATTCACTGTAATTCTGATTACTTTTTCTTTGATGTCCATCTTTGTACAGAGGCAGAAACAAACATTTCCAGTAAAGTATCAGAAGTGCACAGCCTGGACACAAAACACTGCAGTTTTTGAGTTCTAGTTCCTGGGCCATCTCCTTTTTAACAAGCTGGTCTTTGCTAATTGCTTCAATGAGACAGTTGTAACTGCAGTGCTGTTACTGAATACACCAGTGATATGTCTATGAACAGACTGTGGAATGGATACCGTGCTTTAAAGGAATGCAAGTGCTGCTTTGTGGGTCAAACAAAAACAAAAAAACAAAACAAAAAAAAAAAACAAAACAAAAAAAAAAAACAAAACAAAAAAAAAAAACAAAACAAAAAAAAAAAACAAAACAAAAAAAAACAAACAAAAAACCCCTTCATGACTGAATTTCAACTCCATGACCATAGAGATGACAAGTTAATGGAGTCATTCACACTGTGTGGATACGGATTTATCCATGCAATTCCCCTAAATGTTAATGGGAGTTGTGTAGCTAAATCCTAGACTTGCCATGGTGAAACTTACCCCTAACTCTCCAAGGAGAAGGGCGCTAATTGGATTGTTGAGTTTAAATCCTTCAGCTAGTCAGTCTAGGGAACGGATTTAGCACTGGCTCTGTAAAAGGCTTTACAAAGCTTTACAGTGCAGTGCAGGGGAAGATTTTCCCCTCTTTCTTTCTTGTGATTAATAGTGAGGCTTGAGGTGACAGGAGACATAATGAAATTCATAAATGCCTAAGGCCATTTCTAGTCACATTCCTGGCTGTTGGTTTAAGTTAGAAACTGACAGAAGTGTGAACAAATCAAGGTTGTTCTGATAGCCTTTCAGTTAGGGGGAAGAAAAAGTAACTGACAATGAGAAACCACTGGAGGTAGTTTAATGGGTGTAAATTTTCAAGAGTGATATTTTACACCAATTCAGATTCTAGGATACAGACAGGACTTACAAACAGTTGTGTTCTGCCCCCACTGCAGTCTGAGGGATTCCAGGCCTTTTTCACAAAATAAGATATTGGCACAAGTTATTTAAGCAACCTGCCAAAGAAAAGCTGTTGCAAAACCTGTAGTAGAAAGTGACTTGTTCCATGTATTCATTTATGACTGGCCTTGCTCTGCTTCTTATGAATTTTAAAAATCCATTTCCCTCTCTGGGAAACAAAACGTGCAGCTTGAACAAGCAGCATAAAAAGTAACGTAGGACTCTCACTTGGGCCTGCACATACATTCTTCCACTTCCCCATGTCCAGGTTTAAGTTACAGTGTAAAGAATTGCTTCACCAATCCTGTGTTCCTAGGCCACCATAGTGCAGAATGTATCATGTCTGAGTATATAGTGACCAGATACTGATGCGGTGATCTTTTGAGCCAGCTGCCAGCAGCCTCTCACTGGGGTTTTTGTGATCTGAGAAGGACACGCAGTGGACAGTTGCTGTGTGGTAGTCCAGCACTGCTAAGGGCTTCAGTTTTTTCCAGCCAAAGATCCTGATGCGGTGATCCCACCCTGCCGTTGCTAAAATCTTCTTGTCTGGACGGATGGTAATATCAGCTATGCCAGCATTGACAAGTTTGTGTGTTTTGTCAACCTGTGTGAGAAAGTTATTGATGAGTTCTGAGTGTTTAAAACAGAGGAATGGGAACCTTTTGGGATGTAGAGTGCCCACTCATACACACTAGTAGCACAGGTAGTATGGAGCTTTTCACCACACGCTGGATGATTCCTTAGTGAGAACAATCACAGACAGAGATGGCAAAAAACCTTTACTTGAGCCTATCTCCAGCACCCTTCCCTAAAACCAAAAGCTTTCCTTGTAACTTCTTAGTTTATATTGCATTTTTAAACCTATGTATATTGTGTCACAAATGAAGCCCTGAGTCAAGGGTTTGAGAAACAGACTACAGAGCTTTGCTCTTTTCTTCGATGAGCTGCAGTGTTCAGGGCTATAGCCATATATTTTCTCTGCTTCTGCAATATTCCCAAGCTGAGATTCTGAGCTCATGTTTAAACTGCTACTTATTTCTACTACTGTGAGCCCTCACAAAAACCCCAATAGGCTGTGATAGCAGTAAGATCCCACAGTCTTGAGAAAGGAATGCTTCCAGGAATTAGGTTACAGTATCAGGAAATCTGTATTTCTAGTACTCCTTCCCAAGAGACTTTTATTTACACCAAATTCCAAGAAGGGGATTACAACCAAATTATTGATTTCAATCTTGGAAGCCTTTTGTTACTGTTTGGAAACTACTGGGGCACAGGTTTCTGAGGGGCACAATTAAGTTGGAAGCATATAGCATCCTTCAGGAGGTACTGGGGCTGCATAGGACTCAGCCCTCTGAAAGAAAAGTTTTCATTTCACTGACAGAAGCTTTCCCTGGAGCACAGAGGCAAAGCTCAATATCATAAACTTTTGCTGTTCTCACCTCAGGTAACTTGTATTACTCAGCAGTCTGCCTGTGAAACTCTTGCGGGCTGTGCAGAACTCTGTGTGTGTGTGTACATGTATGTTGCAATAGCCCAGCTTTTGTCACAATGTGGACAACAACTTTGGGGTGCATATTAACCCAGAAGTGCTGGTACTTGTAAGCACGTTGGGAATGATGGATTAATGCCACTACCTAATTAAGAGTCAATCTGTAGCTATCTTAATAGAATTCAGTGCATGTTCTAATATGCTGTATGGTGTTTGCTGTTCTTTGAGATGGGAAGGGACTGATGAAGGACATCTGAGTAGCTTTCCTTCTCAAAGGACATGCCATGATGCATAGTTAGTACAGGATAATAAAGAATACATTAATTACAAATAATTTTAGCTATAATATTGGATGTAGAAAACTAAAAGCCTAGAAATGCTGGTAAAAGTTGGTTTCAGATGCAGTTGAACACATCTTGAAATCTTATAGGCACAAAACGTTTAGCAATTATTTTTCAACTATATACCAACTGCTGAGCTGCTGACTCAAGCAGCAAGAGATATGCAATTGGATGAGAAAAAGGGCTAAATGAAACTTGATGTGCTTCTTGTGTGCTCCATATGTTCTTCTTTTAAACAGCACCTGATGAATGTGTCTACAACCAATTCAGAACAGGGGACAGCAAGTTTTGCTCAAGCCTGATGAATAGTCAGGGGCTGCCTGGGGGCCTTTTTTTTTCAGGGGGTGCTACTGTAAAACCTGTGCTTTTTGCTAGTACTCCCCAGTTAGGCTATTGCAGCTTGGCTGCAGTGGGATTTTTATTGGAGTATGTGTAGTGGCAGGGGAAGGATTTATTACTTACATCACCAGCCTGGCAAATTTAAGATGGGCCTTACTCTGTAACTGAGATTATTAGCTAATGGCTATATCCAATCCTGGGTGTGGTGCTTCCCATCATTACTGTCAATTATGTGGGCAAGATCCATACAGCAAAATCTGGGAGAAACTGCATGTCATCAGCAAGCTACAACTTGAAAATGAAGCCTATATAATGGTGATGCCTTTTGGCTATGGAACATGACGGAACAGCAGGCATTTGTGCATGATCTGCAAATGCAGGAGGTGAGAGAGGAAAACAAAACAAAGTGGAACAACTTGCTCAAGGTATATGCAGTCAGATGAAATCCTAGTGCTCATATTTATGCCATCCAGTCACTTATGGGCAATTACTGCAGGCAAATGCATTCCAACATCATTTCCTAACCAAAAAAACAGATTGTAATTAAGAAAACAAAGAGGTAAAAACAGGTGAGCTGCTTTCAGCCAGTCATGACCAAGGACATCTTCTAGCAGATGCATTAAGAAATTCTGGCATGCTGAGACCAACAGATACCCATCTCTTCTTTCCTGCTTAACACAGGCTAGCTATGACTTTTTTTTCTATCTTGCTTCTCTACACCTAAATCCTGTCTCTAAGCTCTGTTCTTTTTAGAAAAATAGCCAAGACAGCAGCTGCCTTAGCTTCAGCATTTGAGGGAAATACTCAAGCAACTCAACAAACAAAACTTACTGACATTACAGCTTACAGAATTTTTTTTCTTGTCATATAGAAACATCTGTGATTATCAGATTTCTTAGCTTTGCCTTGTTTATTCACCTGCAGAAGCTGTTTACCTCCTACATTCTACCACAAACATCATCACATAATTACACTATCTTATCCAAAACAGAAGTCTTATAACCAATCTGGTAATTTGCTGACAGTGATGATTTCAGCAACTTTCTTATGGAAGACGATACACCAAATTTTCCCCATAGCAATAAACTATGGAGTTACCTTCATCATCTATTCATTGACGCATTGGAACGTTGCCACTGAAAACAGAGCCGAAGTACCATCATTGCATCATTATTTCTCCAACGGCAGATAGCTGTGCACCACGTTTACTTATTAAAACCTTTTAGAATAAAAATAATGTGCCACTGAGTGGCTTTCCAACATCTACCATTACCTCAGGTACCTGGTATGTCAGGAAAAAAAAAATCCCCATCTGGTTTGTATTATTAATGGAAAAAAACCCTTAATCTATGTCCTTTACAATCTCTAGTGCTCATATGAAAGATGCATTTTATTAGGGCATTCACACTATGCACGAAGCAAAGAAACATTACTTATAGTTTATAATACTTGGCATTTAAAGTTATTCTGTGAAAAGCTACGATCTCTCAGTGTGATGTGCTGAAGATGTAACTAATCCTGCATCTCCTGGGAATGTGAAAACCCTGTGGAAAACAATACCTGGAATATTTCAGGTGAACAACTGTTTATTTTTCCCATGAGTCATACTTGTACCCCTGCATTACAGTTAACTCATAACTGAAATGTGCCATGGAGAACAATATTTTCTTTGAATTTAGGAAAAAGCTATGTTATAATTTATATGAAGGAGCAGCTTCCTCTCCAACACCACAGTATTTGAAGCTTTAAGAATCCTGTCATGATGTCAGATTCTGGCACTTCTGCCTTAGAAAACTAGTCTCTATACCAAGTTTTTTACTGGGACCTACCTGCTCACCTTTCTGCTTCCCTGAGCTAAGGACACCAGCTGCAGATGTGTGCCAAGAGTGAGAGAAAGGCTGAGGCAAGGCAAACATGACAAAAAAACCACCCCAAACCTAACCCAAACCATGACAATTGTGTACCAGACTTGTTAAAATTTTATACCATTTGCTTGGAATGCCTTTGCTTCTTACTCAGTCTTTTACTTTGTGTCTTACTGCTTATTAAAGTTCAGACATTCTCCTCAGTGAGCACTGCGTCCTCCAAACTTAATTTCAGTTGGATGCATTTACACTACATGCACTGGGGTCTGAGTGCCCTACCGCTCCATAAATACTGCTTCTGTGATGATGCCTAACAGATCTTCAGTGTCCCCCAGGTGAGAAGTCACCACTGGATGTCTCAGGTACTTGTTTTTCTTCCTGTACCACTGTTCAGAAATCAGCAGTAACTTGCCACTTTACCTAAAAAAAAATAATTCTCCAGAAAAGTTGCAAGCTGGGAGAGCGATTATTGTACTTCCATGAATTGGTGTCTGCAGCAGCTGTCTTCTCAAGGATGACACAGGCACACAGGGGCTGGTTCAGGCCCTCTTCATTGTGTTTTAAGGGGACAGCTGCCACTTTAAAAAAGGCTACAGTGCTCAGCAGTCAAGAGGCTATGCACAGGCCATTTTAATTTTCATGAGCCTTATTTATGCACTTCATTTTCACACCTAGTTAAAACCTACTTAACCCCTTGGCACTGTTGAACACTTTCTGAAGTTTTCTGGATTAAGCAATACTTATTGCCATTCACTAGCACAGCCTGAACTGGTGGTTATGAGACCTCTTTCTAAACCAGCCATTCCAGGTACATGTTGCTCAGACACAAACTGATACAGGCAGTTAACTCATTTTCCCTGTCTCCAACTGGGGCTCTAAAGGTGCCAAAGGAAGCTGGTAGCCTAAACCTCATGTCCTCTCGGCGCTAGCTGGGCTACTCTACTATGTTTGTTAAGTATTTAATGGAATATTTCTGTCTTTCCCACAGTGGAAAGAAACCTCTATCCATTCAAGCAGAACCTTTGGAAATGCAATCCTTTGTTTCTCGTTTTTGTAACTAATTTATAATGTTTAGGACATTCTGAGAGCTGGATACTACTAACGTGATAAATGAAGATACAGAGGCAATAGTTTGAGTAATGCTAGGCTTGTGTGCCTGTTACAACTTTGGTAAAACCAGAAACATGTGAGAGAGGTTTTTTTGTGTTGGGTTTTTTTTTTTTAAATCCTCACCATCTTTTGCTATGTCTAGTCACATAGCACAGACATTCTAACCAGTCTGTGATTAATTAGCTAGAGATCTGCAACAACTCCTCTTCATGACTAAATATTTTTTTAGTCTATCAAACTGTTAGTGCAAAGTGGGATAAATGACACTAGAGGGCCAATGATCCTGACCTGGAGGTTCTGTTGCTCACTGAGGCTCCAGATGCTAAGCACCTTTTCAGATGAGCCCGAGATCCCCTTGGCCTTCTTAGAGTCAAAGTCAAGGCTCATCACTGGCTCCTGGTGGCAAACAAGTTGGCTCAACGCTTTTGCTGTTGACAGATTCCAAAGGACCACTGATCCATCTTCATAGCCAGCCAGAAGCAAAGGGGGTGAACCACAGCTGAGCTGATCAAGGTAAAGAAATAATTTGTTAGGAAAATTATCCTCCCCAAGTAGGTTTCAGTCCAAGCACCAAAAAATAAGTGAAAATGCTGACTGGTGTAGAAATGAAAGGTTTAGAAGTCTGAATTTGACATCTTGATAGTCCATCCACTTAAAAAAAGCATCACTAGGTAACTGTTGATATGCACTTATGGTTTTTATATCTACTTGTTCAATTCTGTGTATATATAATATATATAACATACGCATACAAACATAGAAAATGTATCTCTGAAAATCCAAACTATTGCCCTCCACAACACCTGAAAAAAGGCTGTCTGAAGCTTTCAGAAGTTTTACTTCATGGCCTGAGCTTTGCTTGTGCTCCTTAAAAAAAATGACTTAGAGCAGCTGAATGACTATGAAGCCACAGAAACCTGCATGGCCACTGAAAGAAGTGCCACGCTTAAAGGTTCCAGTTTCACATTGCCAAGTGTAGGGTTACACATAGGGATCGTTTACCCAAGTGCACCACAGTGCTTAAAGGTAAACACTGACCCTCTCATCAGGAATCTCTGGGTGAGTCACCAAGGGGTTAATGGGCACCCGAGTCCCACTGTAACCAATTGAAAGCTATTTTGATTAATGATGTCACAGGCCAAGGGGCATGGCACCCTGGGCAGACATAATTTATCTAAGCCTCTGAAATAACTCAAAGAAGGGAACATTACTGGATTACATGTCACACTTAAGGAAAATATTCATCATTGCTCTAGCCAAAAGACTAATCACCCCATGAGCAGTAACTGGTTGTGTGTGTGAAGATGCAAATGTCTAATAAAAGCAACTAAAATCAGGCATATGTTAATGCCAGCTATTTCTAGATTAGGAGAAGAAGCACCAAAATTGACATTGGGATTATGACCACCTCATGTAGGAACATTTTAAAAAATATACCAAATGGCTTATTCAGCTCTTCCCAAGAACCATCTGATCCTACAGGATTTGTTTGCTTGATATTCAGTTAAAAATAAAGGTAAAGGACATTTATAAAGAACTAATTTTTACTGGCATCACATTGTTGAACAAGGTTCTTCAGACTTGCTGGCTGTTCATGTCACAATACAGACCTGCAGTGGTTAAAGGCTCACTGCCCTCTAATGGTCCAGACTGTTCTCCCACTGGTTATTATTTGTTCTAGGGGAAGTTAAACTAACAAGAAATGGGTGGTCTAGGTAATACTGCTGAGTAAAAGCCTCATGTTCTTTCTCAGATTTATTCAGCCTAAAGAAGCGTTTAAGTGACGAATTGATCTCCCTGAGCAGAGAAGAAAGCTGCCCATTAAAAGAAGGAAACAAAAGGGAAATACCCTATTGTCAGCTTTCTGAACAGGTCTCTCCACACCTGAGATCCTGCAGGAGCCTCATCCTTTGCTTTACAATCCATTTTCTTTTGAAAAGGCAGGGAGAGTGTGCTCTGGCTAGAAAGGCTGACAGAGAAGGTGCCTCATAGTGCCCAAAACTGCATGATTTTTCTGTCAGATTTGTGATTTGCTAAAAATAATATGATATCAGATCAATCTGTATCTAATATATGGGAATTAATGTTAACTCATTGGGTTGTTTGGATTAAGGGTTTTAAATACCAAGGGAAAAGTTAAAAAAACCCAACAACCTGAATTAAACACACATCCCAGATCTTATTTATATTTAATAAAGAGTATAAAACCTTCAAAGCAAAACCAAGTATTCCATATATACCTCAATTAAGTTTAAAAAAAAAGCACCCAGTTTGGGCATTAACTCCCCCTCCTCCAATTATTGGTGCTCCTGTGTGACTCCAGAGCCCTGGGGCTTTACAGAAAGTGCAGCTTTCATGAGCCAATGAAACAAGATTTGGATGGGGAAGGTCAGCTAACAAACGACCAGACTTTCAGAGCTGCTCATGGTCCTCATTAAGATGAGAGAGACAGGTGAGTGCTCCACATGATGGGAAACACCAGTCAAAACCTGGAGGTTTTGGTGTGTGTGCTTTGGGTACTTTAGCTTACATTTGAATACTAGTAATTTGCAGGCGAGATCTAAGACTGGTCTATTTTAAAAACAAAGAATTGTTTTCTATGAAACGAAGGTCTCCCACACTTCTTCCTGACTTTCCCTAACCATATGAAGTGTAATATTTCAATGAGTACATGCACTTGAACTGAAACAATAAAAGCTATTGAAAGATCAGGGGAGCTCTCAGTCTGATGCCCAGACTCACCACGCAGTAGTTCACAACAGCCTATTTATTTCAGCTCCCAGTAACAGACACGTCTGGTGAAAAGTCTTCACCATTCATGTTTTGGTTTCAGTAGAAAAATTAAATTATAAACCATTGTTCTTCCTAAGCAGAACATTTTGTTGTTGCATTTGGATAACTGTCAAGGAAGGAAGAAAAGGTGATCTGCTGTCAGCTCAACAGGAATAATTGCTATAGTTTATATAAAGTAATAACTCTGCATTTCCAGTTTCTACATGTATTATTCCTGTTGAATTATTTTGTTTGCACCATTACGCAACACAGTGCCTTCCCCAAGGAGTGCAAAAAATGTAAGGGAAGACTATCCTTACTCCTGCAAATCCTACCCCACCCCATTAGTAATTGCAGGAAGGTGTGAAGGTGAAGGGACAATGTATTTAAGAGTGTGAACCTTCACAAGGAAAAAAGCCCCCTGAAAGAATTAATGCATTTAAGGGCAGACCTAGTAAAATGAGACAAAAAAGTTTCAAACCAACAAAATAAGCAGCTGCCAGGTTTTTATCTGTTTAGAAGCCAGTGGAGGTTAATCTGGAAGCCTTGACCTATGCCTCCATTTCCTTCTGCTCTACAGTAAGTTTCTAATTCATGCTGCTCACGGATAAAGTGCATTGTTTCCTTGACATATGGATTTATTTTTTTTTATTGGTGTGCAGAAAAATACGATACATGGCAGCAGCCCCCAAACTCTTGTTGGACAGCAACCCTGAGCATACTTCCTTCAGACCACTATGAGACTCTCTCCGTGTCAGCTTCTGTTTCAACTTGTTAATTAACTGTGCCATAAGCAACGTCAAGTAGTCTCTTAGGCAACATGTTGCCCATAAGCAATGGGCTGGGGAGTGCTCATCTCCTGGGTATGTCTGCATTGCCCAATGCAGTCATGTTCAAAGAGATACTGTAGGGCCTCTTCAGGAAGGGGTGCAGCTGGGTTAGCTCCTATGCTGGTTTTACGGTTACAGAGTTACCCAGTGAGCCACTTCTAGGGAAACCACAAAACAGAAGGCAGAGCATCACTTCAGTACAGGACATATAATTACTTGCCCTGAAGAGTATCCTCCTCCCCCATGCCTTTAAACCGAGTTGCACGCATTTGGAAATGAGCAGATAGAGGTGTGAGACTGTAAGGGATTTCTATCCTTGCCTGTTGCAGTCTAGGAAGTTGTGGTGACTTTGCAAAGCCAAAATTTGCATGGAATAATTTACCTCTCTCAGTTCCCAGTCCTCTGCTTTATCCTCACTGGCAACAAAATTAAAAACTACATTAAATTAAGACTCTGCACCTGCTCTGCTTCTTAGAGGAGTAACAATATTAATACATATAGAAAATATGGCAAGACAGAGGACTTTTTATACAGGCAACAACATTTTCAACGCTGAACATCTCCTCAGTTATCTTCATCTTATTAAAATATGTCCAGGAGACAGAAAGCCCCATTCATTTCATCGAGTCCTGAACACTGACTGCATTTTTAAGAGAAACTTTCTGTTTAATAAAAAACTAATCAGTCTATTTATTTATCTCCATCCCCTGCCCAGTTTTAATTACACCTGGGATGTGAACTGTGGCCTCTCCTACTTCTGTCTGAAGTCAGCACCTGACTTTCTCTAGACTTCAGTTGGTTCAGGATGTTGAGTGAAGACACTGAGGTGTGAAATTCACAACTGATTGATAATTTTTTCAACTGAAACCAACACAAATGTTTAGATGAACCTGCAGAAATAACATACTTTAGATCAGCTCAGATGGTTCTGCAGCCTACAGCTGTTTGTGGTCAGGGGGTTAAACTGGGAATCAGGTGTCACTAGTTCTTTGGAGATTTAGAGCAAATCACCTAAACTCTCTCCTCTCTCCATTGCCACCTTTTTGTATTACTTGTCCTTCTCTGGTGGCACTCCATAAACATTTGTTGAATACTCTGCAAATATGGGTTTTGTCATTAACTGCTTTTATTTACTTTTTTGTCCAAAGTCAGTACAACCATAAATATTTTGTTCTTAATGTATGTCTGGAGTGCGCACACATTCATAGAGTGCTTCCTTGTCCTGAGGGCACTGAAGTGAATGTAACCTGCCACTTAAATAACTGTTTTGAAGTATCCCAATCGTTTCTCATCATTCCTAATGCAGCGAGAAACCATATCAAACAACTGGCTTTGGTAACTCACTCATTTCCTCTTGATTGATGCAAAAAAACATATCTATCCTAAGGATACAAAGCTTTCCCTGAGCATTTGCAAATCTTCCATTAAAGCTTGGAAAGCTCTGAAAGTTACATTAAGGATGTTCACAAATCTTTCCCCCCTTTAATAGTATAATTACTTGATTGGTTTGATAATAAATCAAAATCCAAGTGAAGAAAGATTCATGTGCTTCATATAAAATGAATCACAGGGAAAACATTTCACAATTAGCAGGCACTCTTGCCTTACCTGCCATAGCTTCAGACACATGGGCATGCCCAGCTTGGCACCCGTCTCTGGCTTCAAGGTACAGACTGATGTCTTGGATGGCAGCTCCAAAACCTGAACCTGACATCAGGAAAACAAGAGTATTTGGTCAGGCTCCAGGCTGAAATTCTGCTGTTAAAAACACAAGTCTTTTAAGGTGATTAAGGCTAGTATAAGCTCTTTCAGTAAAAACTGTCTGGAGGAAACTGAGGAAATGCAGGTAAAGTTGGAGCTGTAGGGGAATCTACAGCTATCTAAATAAATGCATTGTTTTAGGAAAGACCAGACAAAACTGCTAGAATGAACACATCCTCTCCTCCCACTCTTCTGTTTAATCTGTCTTACGGTCTTCAGCTGTTGATACTGTGCATACACTAGATAGTGCAGACTGAATAATCTGAAAGCTTTGGAAAGCTTCCCTGCTTCTACCTTTCCTCTTTTCCATCTCTGTTACTAATTTTTTTGTTTTATTCTTTTGTGGACATTTGCACTGTCTCCTCTTTTCTGTCATGGTAACACAGACCTTGTGTGCAAATACAGGCAATATATGTATCTAAGGTGGACTTTTGATTTACTGGCTATGTGCCAGCCTGATGGGCTACAGGTATCCTTGACACAGCAGTGTCTGACCCTGTTCACAGCAGGGCCAGACAATACTGTCTTAAACACCTGCTCTGTCTGTGTAGCAGATTCCACTGATGCTTGCACTGGTGGCAATGAATTATGGGTCTGAATGTTTTGTTGTAGCTTAGCATGGGGCAAGTCTTTCCTCTGCCAAGGAAGTAGCTAATTTCTACCTCAGAATGATGGCAGGCAAGATCTGGGGAGTCTGCCTTTGCCATTTGGCACTGGGAGGTTTTGAGTCTCTTGATTGACACGTAAGCGCCTCACTCTGGGCTGGCTCTTAAGACTGGAACTATGGAGAATGAGAAGTTCTTAGGTATCAAAAACTTGCTGCCAGGAACATTGCTGTTTCTCAGATGCATACTTGATCACTTAGGTGATCTTTTACTTAAAAAAACAATGGTCTGCATTATCTCGTAAAATTAAAGGACTTCAAACAATTGATAAAGCCAGCATCACCAGCTGTTCTAGGTGACTTCAGAACGTGCAAGAGCCCAACAGAGCTGTTGCACCGCCCCAGTCATGCTAATTTCCTTAAGCATCTAAGATGAGGTATTGTACAAATACAGCTCCTCTGGGAAACATCAGTCAAGACCCAGGTCAGCTGGGATGGCTTTCCAGTCCCATACCTTCAGTTCAAAGCTTGCCAGAACATCTTCCTATGTGTAGAGGTTGTCAGCTAGCCTGCCAAAAGCCAGATGCACTCTAGGACTGCAGGTCAACAATGTACTAAACACAATATACAGAACACTTTCTAAAGCCGCTTAGCAATGGAGCAGGAAACTATTCTCCAGATTTGAAGAATGGAGACTCCAGCAAAGAGCAATCCAATATATAGACCAAACCTATGAACAGACAAGAGTTTGATCACCTGGGAATTGTGATTCTTTGGAGCTACACTCTTAACAACAGATGCTTTTCTCTTGGCAACTTCCTTGCTATCAGCATAACGACCAAGTTAGCTATTGCAGGAAATGGGCTATAAATACAAAGATGACCTGCTCTTCTCTTGTGTCTTTCATCACCGGCTCTCCATGGGGTACTGCCTCCTTGACAAGACTGAAACTGCAACTTTTATATGATAAAGAAGGGTAAGTGTGATGTGATGTATGCACTTCTGCAGGTTAAAGGAAAAAAAAATCCTTCTCTTTACTTTGATTAAAACCGGATGAAATGGTACAAGGGCTACACTTGGGCTTGCACAGGACAAAGGAAAACACAAAGATGAGAAGGACCTTTGCAGAAGGCAGACAGGCATCAGCTGCCTCTGCTATACTGATAGTTCCAGAGACTGTCTGCATTAGAGGCAGCTGAGCCTTAGAAATAAATACTATTTCATATATTTTGACAACTGTAACCTAAAACTTGAAGTTCTGTGTTTATATTGGTTTTGCTTAATAGGAGAAAGATCTGCCTTTGCCTGAGGTTAATAGTGTTCCTGGGTGGCTAAAACTGGCCACAAGGAAACACACCCTTTTTCTTTTTCACATTAATAAAGCTTTTAACATATATCTGGCAAATTGGCAAGAAAAGTGTGTGTAACTCATAATTGGTGATTTAAATGCAATCATGAACAAATAAATGCCTGTTCAGATCTCATTATTTATGGACTGAACCTGCTTTAAGACAAAATTACTCTTTTTTTGGGCACCAGCCAAGCATAAACACTTATTAAGTCTTCATTTTAATCATAAGCTGCAAATGTACTGTCTCTCAGAGTGCTGCCTATTTGGAAGCACTATATGTTATGGGAGCTTATGTGACTTGCTTGAAACCTGACATTGGAGTAAATGTCTTCTCCTTAAATCAGATGATTATTTAGTTCTTCATTATCAGAATGTGTGTGTGTACTCCTTGCCTGACACAGAAACTCTTCTCTGGCTGATACAAGAATGCACTTGTCAATTTTGTTTAACTTAAATATTATTGAGCACTGCTGTAGAATGGAGAGAATTCTTTGTTTGATCAAAACAAGGTATGGGACTTAGAATGGTTGTATTTACTGGTACAGTGGCTGTGTCTACAGGCTTACTCAGTTCTGTAAAAGACTGAACGCTCTGGCTGTGAGCCAACAAAGTACTTAAATATGTGCTTAACTCCTGAACAATAAGAAGTTCACATTTTCTAGCAACACAGGCACTGTTCCCACTTATTACTTCGTATATAAAATATGCAACTTTCAGTTTCAAGATACACATCCTATAGTCCAGAAAAGCATGTGACCTTTTATGCTCATGAACAATTTGGCATTAGCTGCCATATTTATTTTCATATTTATGCCAGTTTTTTCTTCATTCCTGTTTTTGGTATTTTGATGTGAAGTATTTGAAATAATTTAGTTTTGTCTTCAAGTCCTTGAAAGCAAACAAAAATACAATTCTACAAAGCAGGAGTGGAAACAGCCAACAAAGCTGTTTGTCAGTGACTGCTGTGATAATGGGTATTAGATGTGGACTTGCCCAGTAGGAACTGAAATGGACCCTACAATTATTTCCCACTGAGCAAACCTCTGGCCACTAATAGTAATTCAACTATTTCCAGCCAAAGTACTGGTTAAAGAATTAGCCCGGGGTGAAAGACCACATATCACATTACAAATCACCTGCCCCTCCCCTTCTCTCATCAAACACGACTTTCAGCCTGGGATGGAAGATGAGTACCTCCAGCTGATGACAGACTCTCTGACCATGAGTTCCCCAGAAGGACTCTTGTTCCCCTTTAACAGTATTCAACAGCACCAGAGTTTTCAAAACTCCCGCACATGAAAGACCAGCAGCAGCTGCAAATACTTACATGTCAGACAGATCTTGGGGTGGTATCCTTGTTATTAGAGCATGAGTTATATAATTCAGTCATCTTTCTGGCAGATAAAATTAGTTATTAGAACTCCCAAAGGTTGCTTGTGGTGCCCTCTCTTGAGCACAGAATGTGAGAGCAATGGAAAGCAAGGTGTTTCCCCTTCTAAACTATCTTGTTTCAAAACTAAAAGCAATCTCCCCCGCACCAGAAAGAGAGACTTCCTACCTCCTCCAGGGCTTTGCCTGCCATGGCCATCAGCCAGCGTCCCTGCGCCATCTTTAGCAAAGAGCACCTGCAGAATCCCACATTCTCCGTGAAGACAGAATCTGTCACTGAAGTACGTCCTTCTGCTAAATCCCACATGCAGATCCTCTGGTCACGGCCCTGACTGTTAAAGTAAAACAAAATATCCATGAGCAGCAGGTCGGAAGAAGCCTGGCTTCCTGCAGGTCAGTATCTCAGAGCTGGGTCTTTAGCATACAGTAAAGGAGTCAGCCGAGTGCAGCTTCTGTGGGGGCATTGTTGGGGGTTTTAATGAAGTCTGTCCCCCAGCCCACCACCCTTCTACTGACTGCAGACTGGCCAAGAGGTTCAAAAGTTACTGGGAGGAGGGAGGACCTGAGGGACTGCAGTCACAGCCATGTTGCCTTGAGAAGAGAGACTGGATCACACGCAGTTATGCTAGTTACATGTGCGTATATATTTATGGAGTCTCATGAGTGTTTGAGCATTATCATAATAAAAATACTCAATTTTTACTGTTGATTAAATCTAATTTAAAAGGAAAAAAAAAGTATCCAGAGAGTAAAACATTTAACATTCTTTCACCCTAGGAATGAAATAGAAATGTCAGGCATGTTGACAGCTGAAAGACAAATTGCTGGACAGCAAAGACCGCATCAAAGATAAATAAAAAGATACAGTTACTCAGTGGTGAACTTCCCACAGCCACAGGGAGGGCACAGATGACTGTTACAACTGTGTGGAGACACAACAGGAGAGGGACTGGCAGTGCAGGGAGTAGCAGGAATTAAACAATGAAACTCTGTGGTTAAAATACCCCAAACCAGTGGCTGCATCACTGCTGTACTAGTGCAGCTCACACAGAGGCTCCTCTGCAAACCTCAGCCCCACAGAAAAGTCTGTGTCTTGGTCTCAGACAGTAAGACAACTAAATAAGGAGGCTAGACAAAGGGCACAGCATCAATTGCTACAAATTTACATTATCCCACTGGCTCTGCAACAAAGTACAACTGTGGGGAAGCTTCCAGTCCTCAAACCACAGTAGCACAGGATGTGTCCTCACGTCACCAGCTGCAACAAGGAGTCCTCAAAAATCCCTTATCCATTTCTTATTTAATTAGCAGTATCACCTGATGGAACCATGTAAACCTGAACAGAGGTAGATGCAAATCTACAGTCTGTTTGGACTTCAAGATCAGTACAGAAACTCCCATCTGCCATTAGCTGAGTGACAAACTGTCAAAACATTTATAGTACTGGGCATGCAAACAAAGTGGCACTGCAAGAAACTGTTGCAATTTAGCTTCAGAACAGAGAAAAAATATACAGGTAACTGCTGTGGTAAAATTGCACTGCTGTGTGAACTGTTACTAACACGCAGCAAAACCAGAGGCATGGAAAAACTACACAAACAATGTTCATTCAATGTGATTTTATGGGGGAGAGTGTTGATAATTCTTCTTAAGCAGATAACAATATAAATGCTAATGAGTTCCACTGTATATTATAAGAGATGTCTTCTCTAGATAAACATGTCAGAACACCTCCTAGCCATACAGACACTTTGGCATCTACCCTAGATCACCTGTCTAATCCAAAGTACACAAATCTACCCAACCTTCCCTTGCTGAACGAGAACAGAAGCTATTTTGCAACAAAGCAAATGCATGAAACTCAGCCTTGCTCATTTTCAGCTTTCCATTCTCCATCACTGATTCTTCTCTTCCTTTCTTATAAAGTCTTTATGTTAATTTTCGTCTTCCCTGCAAACAGCAGTGAAGAATTCATCAAGTTCAAATGCAAGTGTGCTTCCTTCACCCAAAGACCTCACGTGATCTCAGTGCAGTAATAAAAACACTATAGACCCCAAATTGTTGAGATTATATCACACACACATATATATATGAAATAAATTAATTGTATAATATTCCCACTTTGTTCCATAGTTTTTCTGTATTTTTATGCTTCTGCACATTTCCATGTGTGTTGGAGAGTTTTTCAGTGACTCCAGAAATAAAATATTCCATTTTAGATTACTTTGTTTTCTTCTTCAATCCTGTACATCACACAAACCAGAATGATTTCACTGGTTTTTGCCTGCTTTGCTAACCTGAGCAGCCTGTCTTTACCACCCATTGTCTCCACACAGTAGACTGATTTTCCTCCATGGCCATACAGCGTTGTGTCCACTCTGTGTGTTTTCAGGTTCCAGACATGGACAAGCCCATTCTCAGACCTGACAATAAGAAAAGATGCTTTTAGTGTCACCACTGCAGACATTCTGATAAGATAGTCTGCTACTTTTTTTTTTTTTCCTGAACTGAGGCTGTTTGTACAAAGATAACACCCATCATTCACCAATCACACATTTTGTTTTCTCCAATTTATCTAAATAATGTGATTTGTTTGGAAAGGAAATGTCCATATGATGCTCAAGGCAGCCAGAAATCCTGGTTTACTTACCCAGAGAAAAGAATGGGGACATCAGGTTCTTGGCCTCCACAGGAAAAATGCAGAGTGTGGACTGCAGCAGTGGTCCCTCTGAGAACAAACTGTGGATCTGGAGGTGGCAGAGCCATTGAGCAATGAACTGAGGGAGTGAGAAGACACAGATAGAGAGGTAAGTCAGCCTAGAGTGAAATTACAACTTCAAATAAATTCTGACCAGGACATTTGCTTTTCCTCTTTGAATTACCATTATTGGATGTTACTGCTATTTGTATTTCCTCTCAACATGGACCACTCAAGCAGCTGTCAGACCTGCTTTTTCCTGCATTCCTTTTAAAGCAAGATGAACACTGAGCTGGCCATGTCTGTGCACCTCTTGTGCACTTGTAAATACAAGATTTTTCAGCTGTTCTTTCTGCTCCAAAAAGGAAGAGCTACAAAATTCAAGAAACTGGATACCTGTAATTTCAGTGGGCAAGCAGTTTATAATTCCACTTAGCCCCTTGGCAAGTCTTTCCCCTTCCTCCCTATAAAAATACTATTTCTGTGCTTTCCATTTACAACCATTTAGAGAAAAGCACTGCAGTGAACATACAAACTGAAAAGAAAGTCAGATGAGATCAGAGCTATGGTCACATTTACACAAATCCCATTACTCGGTGTTTGGTATTTTGGTTCCAAGCACAGTTTCCTGAAAAAAGAAATGCAGTATTTCACACTAACTTAGTGACTGCTGTGTTAAACCTTTTAATTCAGGGGGGTTGTACTTCCCAAAGGATCAATAAAGACAGAGACTTTCCGCTTTATGTCACTGCTTCAATACAGCTATACCTTACATGGTACATTTAAACAGCTCAAGTTTAATTGTTACCACACTACCAGCTTTTGAATTGTGTTTAATGGATGCACTTGCTGTTGCATCTCATTTGTGGTGTACCTTGAGTGTTTATAAGATCAGTAATCACCATGGTATCTATAAGTTGTAATTAAACACAGCTGTCTTTTGGGACTGATGATGAAACAGGATTCTTCAGCATAATCTGCAGTTCTCCCTCAATAGCACTGTGTAATTAGGTAAGAAAATAATGAGCTTGGTGGATAACCTCCATGTTTTAGTGACCTGACTCACATGTTCTGTGATGTTGTGTGATGATCTAGGCTCATGACAGGCTAGAGGAAATTTTCAGATTATTACACAATGTACAGGTTTGCCCCCATGGTGAAATCCAGCTCCCAAGTGCTTGTCTATATAACATGCTTCACCCGTGTCATAAACTTGTTAGACTAAGGGTTTTGTCCCCAAAGGTCACCTCTTTGGGACACCACAGCTGTTTGCTGTTGCCCTCAAAATTACTCTTTGTAGAACCAGGTAAATAAAACAGCAGTTAAGCAGCCTGTCAGAGCAGCAGGGTCCCTCTTCGTGGTAGAACAATCCTGGGTTCCAGCACTGAGCAAGGAAGACAAAATAGAACTGAGTCAACCCAGAGGCTATCTGGGATTACAAGGCAGGTTTTTAATAAAATTTTTCTAATTACTGACACAGAAGGTTTTGCTGACAGACAGCAAGTGTGTGCTTGGCTGTGGAAAGGGTTTTACCTGGCATGAAGCAGGTGGTACTAATGCATGTCTTTACAAAGACAGTACTTCAGAAAAATCCCGAGACTAGCTACAGAAAAAAACAACAACTTTCAAACTGTAAGCAAATTAAGTGACTTTTTTGCTCCATGGAGCCTGAATCTTTGCTTGCTTTTTAGCTAATAACATATTTTAATTTATAAATTTGGCTTAATATTAAACCTATGTCAGTTTTTCTTGGGTATATGAGAGGACCCTTTACTACTTCCTATCATGACTCAGCAAATGAATGTCAGTGTGACAGTAATAAGCGTTTCATTTTTTTCCAGCAAGTGTTGAACTATAAAATTGCATCTGTGCTGTCCTCCTCCTCATGAGCTTGGACAAGTCACTTACACCCAAGATTTAAGAAAAAATTCTTAGGTACCTAAATCAACAAAAAGTCCCATGAGGTCGCAAACTGATGGAAATTTGGTGCACCAGTGCCTTAAAAACTCCAAGAAAGCATCCATCTGTATAAGCATCCTCAAAAAACTACATTTAGCCTATCCTCAACTCAGTATCTCTACTTTACCTACAGGGATAATGAATACATTGTGGCATACTGATACTAATAGGTAATGGTTATACCATGCTTTGCTAAGCAGGCAGCTACAAATATGATGACTCTGCGATCGTTAAAGCCCCTGGGCAATTTTTTTCAAAAGAGCCTAAGTGATTTGGAAGCCTAAGACTAATTTTCAAATGAATTTTCAATCCTAAGTCTCTAGGATTTTTAAAGTTTCACCCCAGGTGTCTGAAAATGAGTTCTCTAATTAGCACAACATTTAATGTTAACTCCACCTAGCCTCAGGGAAACCAATCTGTTCTTGTTAACTGGGGATTTCTGCAGCAAATTTAATTAAATGAATTTGCTTTAGTATTTAGGCTGGTCTGAGAGCAAGATCTGGCTCAAGGGCTTGAACAAGCAAAGAGCAACCTACAGAAGAAAGTTCACTTAAAAGCATCTTACAGCTAGACTGTATGTTTGCCCCCGAGATATCCTCATGCTAAGACTCCTGCCTCCTATGAATCTTACTGGTTATGGCTTTATTTGTTTGCAAGAGGGTATCACCAGTAAGAGATGCAACACCTCATCATCACACTGTCCTTTTTTGTAAGATGTTCCACTTTTGCTTTCTTCCAGCTTTCCCTGTGCTGGTAACAGCATCCTCCTTCAGGGGCTGAGCTACACTCTGATATGATACAGACAACTACAAATATTCTTTACAACATACACTGTAAGCCCTTGGGCTCCTGCAGAGATTACGTTTGCTACATGAGAAGTGGAAAACCCAATTATTAAAATTAGTGTTTCAATTAGAAAATGGGTATGTGCACAATACATTAAGTACTAAAAAGGTTTCTGTCTTAAAAAAACTGCTTATATTTAATGCGAGAACAATTGAATTGCCTTCAAAGAACAATTCACAATTAATTCCTTCACAAAACTGACTTTGTTTAGGTTGCAATTAGAATAATCTTAAAACCATTTGAACATCCATGCAGTGGTATTTCAGTATCATCACTTCAGTACTTGATATGAAAAAGTTAAGCTTTTATTTAATAAGAGTAATTTAAAATATGTAAATGTCAAAAGGATTACCTTATAAAAAATCTCTCAGAGAATTAAAAACATTAACAGATTCCCACAGGAGAAATTCCAGCAGAATTCAGCAACTCTCCTGTTCCCACTCCTGTCACTTGTATTTCTTTCACACATTGAAGCAAAAACAAATTGCTATTAAACTATCATCCAAACACTGTCCTCCCTCACAACCTCCACAGTTCAGTTTGAGATACCAATGGCTCAAGCAAAGCCAAGGAAAAAAATCCTCTTAAGGCTTGTTTAGAGTAGTAAAAACTCAGTGGCTTTTTCAGGTATAGGAGAAATAAATCTCTCTAGGCATGTCTGGCAAACTGATTTGGGATTGAAACCAGCAGGTGTGCAGACATAATTACTACTGCAAAATATTTAACACATCCAGGTGTGCTCACAAACAGATATAAGAAATCCCTGTTATTTTTTGAAAATTCCTAGTGCCACCCTCCCTCCCAAAGGAAAAATCAGAGCAAAAAATGAGTTGAGAAAGTTGTGAATAAATAGTTCTTCCCCCTTTCCAGGCTATTTCTTTTTCACTCACACAGAAGCCCTGTTTTAGCCTGCACATGTGTGCCGACCTGCACTTCAGAGCTTTGTGACTCTCTGCCATGGATAGCGCAGCTCTACTGCATGAGTGTGGCTTCCATGTGGGTCACTAGCTGAAACTGCAGAGGAAATAAGTGGGAATAAAAGACTCCCTCAAATTAACAATGCAACACAAACAGTTTTGTTTATTCCATTATGCTTACAGTCTCCAGCAGGCCACCCTTACAGTATGAGCTTTCCAAACACAATATTCCCATGTATCCAGTCTCTAACCTACCACAGACAACTGGGTTTCACAGGTGAAAATAGAACTATCCTCTTCCTAAGAAGCAACCTTGTAATACACTGCCTGTCAATGCCATGGCCCTTCCTTGTGCAGCCAACTCCGGCCTGGCTGGTGTGAGTTACTTGAGTAGCACAGATAGATCAGGGGAGTCCCAGCAGCACCTGATTCGCCTCCCCAAATTATAGTGCTAAATTTAGATAGAAACTGTATTAGACTTCCAGGATTTCTTTAAAGCTAATAAAAAAAAAAAAATCATTTCAAGTGGAAACAAATTAGTAGAAATCTTTAAATAAATTAATTTAAATTAGAATTAGTAGAACTTTCTGATTTAAAAAGTAAATGTATTAATAAAGCACTCTTAGTTTTCAGAAATAAGGATAACCAAATGCTTTCTCTTAAATTGGTTACTTATCATATTACCATGTACCTATGCCTACCAAACTAGAGATTAAGCACAGTGTTGTATATTTGTATTTTCTTTGTGACTTCAAAACCGAAAACATCCCAATAAATAAATAAAAAATCACCATGTTGGACTGGAAGCATTCATTTGGGTGCTCGTGCTTGCACTGACAAATACAGTATGTAGACAGATCTCTAGATAGAATTCTCTTGCTTGCAAAACTCACTAGTTAGAGACACGTCAATGTCAAAGAGAATGCAGTGAGTTATACGCCCTAGCTAGACAGTCCTTTATTAACTGGTATCATAAGCCTGTTGCCACACAACCAACATCACAGCTGACAAGAGTCCTTTTACAGGCTGGGAACACTAGATGCTGTCAGAGCTTTCATTCTAAAGAGTCACCAAATCAGTTCTAATGACTAAGAATGACTGCCTGCTCAGAAAAACACTCCAGAAGACTCATTTTGAGAGGTGCTGAGAACCTCCATTTCCCACTGACTTTTAAGGAAGTTAGGAGTTCATCCTCTCTCAGGAGCTCCCCAAAATTACCTGACATGAATAGACAATGAATAATGGAAGTTTCCACACTTGTAATAGTCAATGGACAGATAGCTAACAAATCTGCTTATCAGCATTGGTGATATGCCAAGAAATCTTATGGGAGCAGAAAATAAAAT